TTTTATTCTCAATAATCATGCCATATCACATAAATGATTGGCTCAAATTTTATTTAACCTAATAACTCGCATAAAATCATCATGAAATTGGAGATTTTCGCCCATATGTTGTAACACTAGCATCATTTTTGCTAATTTGTATAACTTCATTTAACCTATTTGTGTAACAAAAATTAATGGTTTTTGATTGGCTAATTTATATCGTGCTCCCAACTCTGGCTGTGACTTTGTGTAACATTGGGCTGTTTGTTTATTTGGTTGTATATCACGTGATTGGGTGTTATATAACATGGTGTTATAAATATAATTTTCCTTTATTATTTTTGGTTCAAAAAAATTTTTATCTAATAGTTAATTATGTTTTTTTTTTGTTTTTAGGGCTTTTTATATCTAACAATAAAGATTTTTTTGCTTAAAGTAGTGATTTAAAAGATAAGACAATAAGATTTTTTGTTTTTTAGTTTATTTATTAGCAATCAATTTACTAAATGATTTTATTTTTTTATTTTTCATATATGATTTTAACAATTCATTTTAATACAGAAAAGCCTTATTAAATTTCTTTTGCAGAATCGAACTCTCTACAACATGCACTTATAGAACTATATGAACAATTATATTTTTTAAAAGTTAAATATATATTTAGACCAGTAGTTATTAGCTTATTTAAGGTACAATTAAGAAGATTTTTTCAGACTTTCTCTAGACATTTTAGTTACATCTGTTTTTATTTTATCTATTTAAATTCTGTAACTAAAGATAAGTGAGTTTTTTAGACCAATTAAAAAGATTTTTATTAGTCTATTTTATTTTTTCTTATACCAATCAATTATTCTAATTTTTAGAACAATTATTTTAGAAAATAATTATTTTTTATCAGAATCATACAATCAGAATTGTATCTAGTAGTATTGATGTTTGTAAGTAGTATACTTGTATAAGTTTTCTATTCTCAAAAAATTTTAATTCATATTTTTACACTAGACTTTTATAGTATGGTATTGTTGGCTTATAAATATCTGAATCATGATCAGATCATTTTATCATTATGAAAAAATGCTTGTGTTTCAAAATTGGTAAAGTAATTTTACCAATTAGTATTAGTGTAAAGTATAAATAAAATAAACAATTTAATATAAAAAAATGACTTCAATAAAAATATATTTTATCATCTGATAGCTTAATATGATTGGATTATCAGAATAACTCAAGTTATTTTGATGGCAATTACATTTTACCAAATAACTTCGTTATTTTGATGATAATAAAACATAATTACCATCAAAACAAATCGAGTCATTCTGATGGTCCAGTTATCAAATAATACTGTTATTGAATGCTATGCACCAATAACTTACTTATCTGGCTTTAATTTAATATACCATTTCTGGTACATTAAATTTAAACCAGATAATGAAGTATTTTTACAAATAACTATATATTATCAGTTTTTTTTTTTATTCAATATTTATTTTTAAATGATATTTTATTAATCAATAATAACCAACTGAATTTGAGACTTAATTTTTATTTAGATATATATGTTGTGCCTCAGAATAACGTAGGCCTCAGCTGACAGCCGACGTACCTCAGATATCGATCGTCAGGTGAGGTGCCTCAGATAGTTAATCGATACCTGAGATGCGTCGACTGTCATCTGATGCATACTTTCTTTTAAATAAGCTTTATATTATCCATTGTTAACTTTTAAATGATGATATTAACTTCATAACTGATACTGTAAATAATACTTTGATAATGACGATTTTCGTCATATACTTTGTGACTTTGTTGCCTATATATTAGTTACCAAATGTTCTCATGCTTTCGTTCATTGCTCATCGCCCATACGTTCGTTGCCCATACGTTCGTTGCCCATACGTTCGTTGCCCATACGTTCATTGCCCATACGTTCGTTGCCCATACGTTCATTGCCCATACGTTCGTTGCCCATACGTTCGTTGCCCATACGTTCATTTCTCATACGTTCAAGCATCTTATCTAGATGTTAGTTTACTATCTATCCCATATCTTAATTATTGTATTTCTGTCACGTACCTTTTAAACCTTTCATTGAACTTTAGAAAATTTCAAGTAGTATTATTCCATTTGAGTCTGAATTACATATTTTTTTTTTTTACATACATTATACTATGGAATACACCTTAATTAGTAAAGAAGTGTTTGATAGTATTATTGACCGATATATCATGGGCTTACCTGAAAAAAAACAAGATAAGGCATTAGTAAACGTGGAACTTCTTAACAAAATCAAGCTAATCCTAAGAAATTCTACAAACATGAATATTAGTGATCAGAACACTTGGAATTGGGCGAAAAGAAGATTTCGTCTAGAAGAAATAACCCCTAATGATTTTAGAGTTATAGTAAAAAAAGACAATAATCCGGTTCTAACTGTAAAGAATATGTATGAAGTACTTTGCTGAACCTATGCCAAAATTGACCAACATGGAGGGCAGAAACAATTGTGGAAATCAATTAGAGAAAAATGGGGGTGGATTAGACAGGACATCATTGAACAATTTGTCAATAACTGTACAGTGTGCGCCACAAGGAAACCATCCTTCCACCCATTAGCAGCAAAACCAATTATCGCAAAAAATTTTTTATCCCGTTTACAAGTAAGCTAATATAATTTATTTATTTATTCATTTATTTTTTATTTTTTTATTTAACATTTATTTTTTTTAT